ATTTTTTTCCTCACTTTGATTTATTCAGGGAAGGGCCAGGGGAGAAGTTACCCATCCTTCCTCTCTCATCCTATGAAAAAAAAAGACGCATTTTACAAAATTCCATTGACAGACGATAAATATAACACTTGGCTCGTTTTCTAACAATCGCATGAAGAAGAAGATGATGGATTCCGGAAGGTTCGTGAAGAAGATGGTGAGGAAAGTTTCCAAAACACATGACAAACAGAGCAAAGCCATGGAAAAGCACTTTTTGCTTACCGATGATCAATTGATCTCTGATAATTCGAGGCATAAAAGCAAGAATGGGAAGATCTCGGCTCATATCCCGAGAGGATTCGTTGCAGTTTATGTGGGGCCCGACAGCCGGAGATTCCTTATCCCCACCAAGATCCTTTCTGTTCCTAAGTTTAAGGAGCTTATGGATAAATCGGCCGAAGAATATGGTTACGAACAGCAAGGAGGATTAAGCATACCGTGTGACGAGGATGAGTTTCGAAAATTGTTGGTAACCTGCAAAATGTACTCCAAAATCAATAAATGCATGTCATGTAATAACAACTGTGAAGAAAAGAAAACAGTTCCTGTATATATATGAATGAATAGTCTTATTTTGCAAGTTCTTTGAGTTTTTTTTCTTTATTCGGTGCTTGTTTTTTCATGCATCAGGCAAAGAAAAAGTGTTCGCACCGTAAAAAACAGAACGATTGTCGATTATCCAAAATCGAACTAGTTGTAAGAAGGCTGCCGAAAAGCGATAAAAAACTACAAAAAAAAGAACACAGAGAAAATTACCAATCGAAGTACAAGTTTTTCGATAGACCCTTCATTTGGTTCGAATCCCAGCTTTTCGGTAGATTTCATCATACAACCTGAGTTTCTCACCATTGGATTAATTAACACACATAAAAAATTTAGTTTTATATCCAACAAGTCATCAAGCTACAAATAATACACAATCCATTGAAAGCAATTNTTCAGACCAATCAACATATTCCCATAATCTTAAATCATCTTTCCTTTTGAATACAACATGCCACAATATATAATAACTTATACAACCACTCAAAATAAATCATTTCTACAAGTTACACTATAGCATACATATATTACTTCCAACATTCTCAAAAGTTGATTATCCGCCGAGTTTCAGCTGCCACAGAGTACGGCTCGAAAAACCTTAAGCCTCAGAAGCTCCATAATCATCTGCACATCAATCGATAATTTTCACCAATTCCTTTTTAAGTATTTTTCGGGCAATTAGAAAGGGAAAAATTTGCAGTACCTTGGCCAGAAGATAGCTGTTCAAATCGAGCAACAATGTGTTTTCCATACGTGTATTTTCTTAAGGCAACGATATGAAGCTGGATTCTACCGAGCAGCCTTTCCCTCTGGTCCTCATTGCTAATATCAAGAATTTTCTGGACCACATAATTTGCAAACTGGTCCTTCATCATTCCCTTAAAAAACATTTTTTTTATACTTCGATTAGTGGACAAGGCTGGAGTACGAACTACAAACAACTACATATGACCAATTATTGGTCGACAAACAAAGACAATATCACGAGATTGCATTCAAGTCAAGGCGAAAATGCATTTTTAGTCCGCCAAAGCAATTTTAATCCAAAGGTTCCAACTTTTCGCCTTCTAGTCATATGATTTTAATATTTTGTTGCAATTTCAGGACAAGACTGAAATTACAATAAAATTTTAAATTATAGGACTTAAATGGCTCATAGAAAATCTATAAATTTGGAAATTTGTTGCAATTTCAGAGGACTGAATTGCAGCAAAATATTAAATCACAGGAACAACAGGCGAATTTTTAAAATTTTAGGACTAAAAATGTAAACCAGCAAGACTTACTAAAAATGCAATTTAGCCTTCAAGTAAATAACTATTGAATTGTAAAACGAAAACAAGAGTTGATGAAAAGAAAAATATGCGTTACCAGTAGATTGTCGTTATCCTCGGGCTGCATGAGAATCTCCTCGATCAAGAGTTCTCGTTCGGCAGCATCGCCAAATTCCAGACATTTTTCAACAACATTTGACGCGTATTTATGCTGACTCATCCGCACGATATTCCCAGAAAATCGGTCGATAATCTGTCTCCGCTCAGATGGTTTTCCTCTCTCTAGAACGTGCTACAAATTATTACGATACATAAAATAATTTAGTTTCGTATGAAGTGTTGAAGCATTAATTAATAAATTATAGCTCAGGATGAAAAATGTTCACTCAGTGCTAAATTTCATTTGCAGTTTGAACTGTCAGTTCTCACCCAAATAAGGCCAGCTTGTATTTTCTTGCATGAACATAAAATATAAAAGAAAAACCTAAAGATAAACTAGCCATTTTTAAAAAAAAATAAAATCAATAAATTAATTTTGTACTATTTAATGCATAGAAAAAAAACCCTTTCAAGAAAAGAAAAGGAAAATGAAGTGAATAAATTTATTATAAAAAAAAAATGCAAAGAGAAACAAACCTGAATAACATAGTTTCCATACTGATCATGAGCCAAATCATATACACGTTCCAGTATTTCATCCACTATTAATCGACATCGCGAGTCATCTGAACAATACTCTAAAATTCTCTGCAACAAGAGGAAAAGCTTCGAGTCTTAATATATTACATTTTGTACTTGAAAATGAAATTAATTTGATAGTAAAACTGTATCGCGTGAATTTCTCAATAGCGGTCATGAATGATTCATTCCTAGAAACTATCTTTTTTTCTGAACAATGCTCAAATTTTATTAACTAAGCAAAGGTAAAAACTTGGAGTTCCATTTTTTCTTTTCTTCCAAATGAGAATAAAACTACCAAGATTTTTTCTAGGCGAATTCTATATGGAAAAATTTACGGATACATTAGAATTTATGTATTATATTTAAAGAAAA